TTGTTGTTGTTCTTGTTGTTGTTGTTGTTGTTGTTGTTGTTGTTGTTCTTGTTGTTGCTGCTGCTGTTGTTGTTGTTGTTGTTGTTGAACTCTCATTCTTGAAGAATAATCATTGTTGATCCCCCCCACCGGTGCACATTGATTTTTTTCGATTGAAGTGCCACCCCCGGGGCTCGCACCTTGTTTTTTCTCAAGGACAGTCTTCCTGCTCAAACTGTGCCCCTGCCCCACGGGCTACAACAACAACGGCTCCCGCCTGAGACTTCCTCGATTTTTACTCAGGACCCCCGCTCCCGCCTGAGACTTCCGCGCAATTTACTCAGGAAAGGCGCTCCCGTCTGAGACTTCCTCGCAATGTAATCAAGACCCCCGCTCCCGCCTGAGACTTCCGTGCAATTTACGTGGGAACGGCGCTCCCGCTTGAGACTTCTTCGAATTCTACTCAGGACCCCCGCTCCTGCCTGACATTTCCGCGCAATTGACTCAAGAACGGCGCTCCCGCCCGAGACTTCCTCGCAATTTAGTGAGGACCCCCGCTCCCGCCTGAGACTTCCGTGCAATTTGCTCAGGAACGGCGCTCCCGCTTGAGACTTCCTCGCAACTTAGTCAGGGCCCCCGCTTCCGCCTGAGATTTCCTCACAATGTACTCAGGACTGCGCTCTCGCGTGCGACGTCCTCACAAATTATTCTGGAATTGCGTTTCGGCGCTCAGGAACCACGCACGCGCCAAGGACGCCTTCACAACGTGGTATCTTCCCTCTTCCTTCGTCCTTTCCCCCTCCCCTTCCTCCCACTCTCCCTCGTTCTTCCCCTCCTCCTCTTGCAGGGCCCGCGCCAATTCCAATGGCGGGCAGAGAGATGTACGCCCCCGAAGGATTGTCCGCCCGTTCCGGTTTGCCCGTACGTCTAAGCCCGCCGGCCCCAGCAAAGAGAAATAATCCCCCCGAAAGGGGTGTGATCGAAGACGAAGAGGGCGGGCATCGAGGGTGTAGGGTATACGTGTTGAATGACTCGCGGGCAAGTAAGAGCGTACAGCCTTAAAATGGTTGTTGTTGTTGTTGTTGTTGTCGTCGTCCCACCCGCGACCCGCCCCGCATCACACCCGAGACCCACCCCGCGACCCACCCGCGACTCACCCACGACCCACCCCGAGACCCACCCGCGACCCATCCCGCGACCCACCCGCGACCCACCCGCGACCCACCCGCGACCCACCCCGCGACCCGCCCGCGACCCACCCCGAGACCCCCCGGGCGACCCACCGGCGACCCATCCGCGACCCACCCGCGACCTACCCTGCGACCCACCCCGCGACCCACCCGCGACCCACCCGCGACCCACCCGCGACCCACCGCGACCCACCCTCGACCCACCCGCGACCCACCCCCGACCCACCCAAAATTGTCGGCGCCTGCGGCGGGTTTCTTTTGCATTCGCTCCAGGTGGAGAACCTGCGACCCACCCGCGACCCAAACCGCGCCCGCGACCCACCCGCGACCACCCGCGACCCACCCGCGACCCACCCCGCGACCCACCCAAAACTTTCGGCGCCTGCGACGGGCTTCTTCTGCATTCGCTCCAGGTGGAGAACCTGCGACCCACCCGCGACCCAAACCGCGTTCAGTGTACACAAAATTATAGCCAGAGTGCAGTATCCCCAAACAGGGTTTTTCGACCCACTGCGGTTTCCAAGGTCGATTGCGTGCCCGTCCAGTGCGGGCTGGCATGGCATGTTAAAACATGCCTCCTCCTCCTCCTCCTCCTCCTCCTCCTCCTCCTCCTCCACCTCCTCTTCATCCCGAACGGCATCTCGGAGCCCAGAGTTGCGAGGATGTCTCCAGCGTAACGGGCTGGACCACCTCGCGCGCGGCATTTCGGACCCCAGAGTTGCGACGATGTCTCGGGCGAAACGTGCTGCGAGGAAGTCTCAGGCGAAACGGGCCGGACCACCTCGAGCGCGGCGTCTCAGAGCTCCGAGTTGCGGGGGCCTCCTGGGGCCTCCTGGGACCTCCTGGTGACCTCCTGGGGCTTCCTCCTGGGCCTCCTGTGGCCTCCTGGACCCCACCTGGGGCTTCCTGAAGCCTCTTGGGGCTCCCAGGGGGGGATATCTAACATGTGGCCGTCGGGGCCCCCCAAAATGGGGGGGGCCACAAGAGCAGGAAAAATCAACGAATCGACACCGGATGTGTATTAACTTGACACGTTCTGATAGGGGGCCTCCTGGGGCCTCCTGGGAGCCTCCTGGGAATCTCCTGCGGACCCCTGGGGCCTGTCCTGGGCGTCCTGCGGCCTCCTGAAGCTCTCTGGGGCCTCCTGGGGCTCCCAGGGTCCCAGGGGGGATATGTAACATGTGGTCTTCTGGGCGCCCAGGCTGGACCACCTCTTGCGCAGCATCTGAGAGCTCAGAGTTGCGAGAATGTCTTGTGCGAAACGGGCCGGACCACCTTGCGCACGGCATCTCAGAGCTCAGAGTTGCGAGGATGTCTCAGGCGAGATGGGCCGGACCACCTCGCGCAGGGCATCTCGGAGCCCAGAGTTGCGAGGATGTCTCCAGCGTGACGGGCTGGACCACCTCGCGCGCGGCACTTCGGACCCCAGAGTTGCGACGATGTCTCTGGCGAAACGTGGTGCGAGGAAGTCTCAGGCGAAACGGGCCGGACCACTTCGAGCGCGGCGTCTCAGAGCTCCGAGTTGCGGGGGCCTCCTGGGGCTCCTGGGATCTCCTGGGGACCTCCTGGGGCTTCCTCCTGGGCCTCCTGTGGCCTCCTGGACCCCACCTGGGGCTTCCTGAAGCCTCTTGGGGCTCCCAGGGGGATATCTAACCTGTGGCCGTTTGGGCCTCTCCAAATGGAGGGGGGGGGGCACAAGAGCAGGAAAAATCAACGAATCGGCACCGGATGTGTATTAACTTGACACGTTCTGATAGGCGGCCTCCTGGGGCCTCCTGGGAGCCTCCTGGGAATCTCCTGGAGACCCCTGGGGCCTGTCCTGGGCGTCCTGCGGCCTCCTGGTGCCTCCTGGGGCCTCCTGGGGACCTCCTGGAGCTTCCTCCTGGGCCTCCTGTGGCCTCCTGAACTCCACCTGAGGTTTCCTGAAGCCTCTTGGGGCTCGCAGGGGGGATATCTAACCTGTGGCCGCTTGGGCCCCTCAAAATGGAGGGGGGGGCACAAGAGCAGGAAAAATCAACGAATCGACACCGGATGTGTATTAACTTGACACGTTCTGATAGGGGGCCTCCTGGGGCCTCCTGGGAACCTCCTGGGAATCTCCTGCGGGCCCCTGGGGCCTGTCCTGGGTCCTGCGGCCTCCTGGACCTCTCTGGGGCCTCCTGAGGCTCGCAGGGTCCCATGGAGGATACGGCCAGAAGAGCATTCCTCAAGAGCGTGAGACTCTCCGCCGGCCAGAAGGCACAGAACATCCAAGGACACCCTCTCCAGAATGCACAAGAACATGTAACAAGCACGAAGAACACCAGGGCACCCTCCCCGAACCGACCTCGACCTTCTACCTCGGTCCGACCGTATGTAACATGTGGTCTTCTGGGCGCCCAGGCTGGACCACCTCTCGCGCAGCATCTGAGAGCTCAGAGTTGCGAGAATGTCTTGTGCGAAACGGGCCGGACCACCTTGCGCACGGCATCTCAGGGCTCAGAGTTGCAAGGATGTGTCAGGCGAGACGGGCCGGACCACCTCGCGCAGAGCATCTCAGAGCTCAGAAGTTTGAGGATGCCTCAGGCGAAACGGGCCGGACCACCTCTCGCGCGGCATCTCTGAAGTCAGAGTTTCGAGGATGTCTCAGGCGAAACGGGCCAGACCACCTCGCGCAAGGCATCGCAGAGCTCAGAGTTTCGAGGATGTCTCAGGCGAAACGGCCCGGACCACCTCTCGCACGGCACCTCGGGGCTCAGAGTTTCGAGGATGTCTCAAGCGAAACGGCACGGACCACCTCTCGCGCGGCGTCCCGGAGCGCAACTTTTCTAGGATGTCTCAGGCGAAACGGCCAATCCCGGCCAACTCAGAAACGAGAGTTGTGAGGATGTCTTAAGCGAAACGGCCAAAACCACAAAATTGTTGTGAGGATGTCTCTGCTCCGCGTTCCCTCGGCCAGAGTTAGTTTCTATCACAACAGCACCCCGTTCAGCAAGCTGTTTGGGGAAAAAAGTTTCGGCGCCTGCGGCGGGCTGTTTTTGAATTCCTTCCAGGTGGAGGTGGAGAGCCCGCGACCCACCCGCGACCCAAACTACGTTCACTGAACAAGCCAAAACTTCGGCGCCTGCGGCGGGTTTCCTTTGCATTCGTTCCAGGTGGAGAACCTGCGACCCAAACCGCGTTCAGTGTACAAATCAAAATGTTCGACGCCTGCGGCGAGCTGTTTTTGACTTCCTTCCAGGTGGAGGTGGAGAGCCCGCGACCCACCCGCGACCAAAACTACGTTCACTGAACAAACCAACAATTCGGCGCCTGCGGCGGGATGATTTTGCATTTGTCCCGGATGGCCCACCAGCGATTCCCCCCGCGCTGAACTTGTCAGAGCACGCAAATCGGCGACTACGGCGGACTTGCTCGCATTGGTTAGGAGGAAGAGGAGGAGGAAAAGGAGGAAGAGGAGGAGGTGGAGGAGGAGGAGGCGGAAGACGACGACGACGACGACGACGACGACGACGACGACGACGACGACGACGACGACGACGACAACAACGACGACGATGAGGACGAGGACGCGGACGAGGAGGACGAGGAGGAGAAGGAGGAGGAGGAGGAGCAGGAGGAGAAGGAGGAGGAGGGCGCCATCGACAGGGAAGGTGGGGGCCACGAGGTCCGCCGGCTCGACGCCCGCGTCGCCCGCGCCCGCCCCCATCACTCTTATCCGCAGCTGCAGGGTGCTACGTGTAACGTGTTTGTTTGATGGCTGCGTTTGCTTAAAACAAAAAAATCACGTAGGAGGACATGCCCGACGTGCGCCTGGAGCGCCGCGCCGCGCCGCACGCCGAGGCGCGCCGCCTCCGGGAGCTCCGTGGGCTCCGCGTGGAGGTCGTCCAGCGCCTCGAAGGCCGGCAGGGCGAGCTCGGCCAGCGCGCCGCCCACGATCACGGCGCGGTCCCCCTTGGGCGAGTCGGGGAGGAGGAGGAGGCGGAGGAGGAGGAGGAGGAGGAAAAGGGAGGAAAAGGAGGAGGAGGAGAAGGAGGAGGAGGCGGAGGAGGCGGAGGAGGCGGAGGAGGAGGAGGAGGAGGAGGAGGAGGAGGAGGCGGAGGAGGCGGAGGAGGCGGAGGAGGAGGAGGAAGAGGAGGAGGGAGGAGGAGGAGGAGGGGGAGGAGGAGGCGGAGGAGGAGGAGGAGGAGGAGGCGGAGCAGGAGGAGGAGGAGGAGGAAAAGGAGGAGGAGGAGGAGGAGGAGGAGGAGGAGAGAGGAGGAGAGGACCCCTGGCGAGTCGAAGAAGGCGCCCGCTTTTGGCGCTCCGCGCGAAAAAAAACCATAACAGAAGGAGGAGGACGAGGAGGAGGAAGAGGAGGAGGAGGAGGAGGAGGAGGAGGAGGAGACGCCCCTGGCGGGTGAACCGCCCAGGCCCCGGCCCGAGGGGGCCCAGACCAAGACCCCGGATCTGCGCTGGGCCCCCCTGGCGGCCCTACCCAGATCCCCTCGCGTGGTGGGAAAATCACGGCGGAAGGTTTTTCGTCGGTTTCGGCCTTCTTCCGGGGCCCTCGCCGGGCCTCGGGACCATCAAACAACGACTCGGGAACGAACAACCGGTCCCGGGGAAATAGTCGGGAGGTCGGGGGCCCGCGTTCTGAAAAAATCGAGCCGTCGAAAAAGGAAAGACGCCATAAACAGAAACTTTTGGCGCTCCGCGCAGATGTCGTAGATCTGCGCTGGGCCCCCCTGGCGGCCTTACAAACCAAAACCGCCCTAAGTGGCACCTAGAACATTTTCATCTGGCACCTCGAATTTGTCCGTTGGCTTCGACGCAGCGAAGCCTTGAGCCGATGAGGACGCAGCTTTCTTGGACAGAACCCTGACGATATCTTGGGACCATAGGGGTCATCTTGGAGCCATGAGGATCGCCAGGGCCCCTCTCTTGGGCCGTCTTGGGGCCATCTTGGGCCGCGATGCCGCGCTGGGGTCATCCCGCCATCTTGGGCCATGCCTGCGGGGGGCCCGGTCTGGGGGTCTCTGGGCAGGTCTCAGAGACTCGCCGCAACGGCGGGGAACGTCAAGACGTCGGAGGCCGGGACCTGGTCACACCTGGGACCATAATGGTCCCAAGTGTGACCAATCTCGGAAGATGGCGGCCAGCAGGCATACGTTTCACGGGAACCGGCGGCCCAAGCCGGAATTGAACCCCGGGAAGGCTCCTCAGGAGCGGCCCAAGCCGGAATTGGACCCTGGGAACCCCCCTCAGGCGGCGGCCCACAGCGAAGTTGGACCCCGGGAGGCCACCGAGGCCCTGCCCAAGCCGGAATTGAGCTTCCGAGGCCCCGGGAATCCCGGGTTGCTTATTGCACACCGGCCGTGTCCAATGAGCAAGTCGCCTTCGTTGAGAGACGCCCGCCGGAATCTCCCTGGAGGGCGGCGTCGGGCCTTTTTTTGGACTCTGGACGCGACGACGACGAAGTCTTCCATTCATTCCCATCATCATCGGCGCTGCCATCATCATGACTTACCATCACGTCTGTCAATAGCTGTTGTCCCATCAAAACGCATGTGTTGCAACTTGCAGGCTTCCCGGAGAGGTAATCCAATGAGCCTGACCCCCCGGGTGGGGGGGGGGTCAGGCTTATTGGGCTCGGCCGGTGTCCAAAGGGGGGCCCAGGTGACTCTCGCATGCGCAACATAAGCCAATGAGCCTGACCCCCCCCAACGGGGGGTCAGGCTCATTGTATTACCTCCCCGGGAAACCTGCTGCTGCAACACATGCGCTTTGATGGGACAGCTATGGACTGAGGTGATGGTGAAGACAGGTCACGATGATGGCAGCGGGATGTCGACGGGACGTTCCCTGATGACTGGGCCTGGAACGACATGTGATGGTGAATGTCGGCATGACGAGATGGGCGCGCGCGCATGCACATATAGTGTACATGTACCAGCATCGGCCACTGAGTCATTAAGCAGTGGATGTGGTATCTACTACAATCAACGTGGTGCAATCGGTGCGGCGTGAGCCTGTAGTGTAAGCTCCGCGGTGCAATATATGTGGCGCGATATATATATATATATATATATGTGGCGCGAGGTGATATTGACGATGTCAGCGTTGATGATGATGGGAATGAATGGATATGAAGGCCACGCAAACGATGGTGATGGTTGTTGGATTATGCGGCGATGTCAGGCCACGTCAGCACAATAATGTCATATTCGCGGTGATGGTATGAGTAATCGCCGTATTGCGTGCGTATAGTGATAGTAGTAGCATAGTAGTAGTGGTAGGTGTAGTCGCAATCATATTATTAGTCGCTTCTTCGGGCCAAGAACGGCCCAAGAGGCCCGAAAGCTCGTTCCGAGACGGCCCAAGAGGCCCCCAAGAGGGCCCCAAGACGGCCCACGATGGCCCCAAGACGGCCCAAGAGAGGGGCCCTGGCGATCCTCATGGCTCCAAGATGACCCCTATAGTCCCAAGATATCGTCAGGGTTCTGTCCAAGAAAGCTGCGTCCTCATCGGCTCAAGGCTTCGCTGCGTCGAAGCCAACGGACAAATTCGAGGTGCCAGATGAAAATGTTCTAGGTGCCACTTAGAGCGGTTTGGGTTTTTACCCGAATCCCCATCGCGTTGTGAAAACATCACGACGGAAGGGTTTTCGTCGTTTTCTGCCTCCCGGGGCCCTCGCCAGGCCTCGGGACCGTCAAAAGACAAACGAAAAACCGGTCCCGGGGAAGGGGTCCAGAGCTCTGGGGGTCGACGTCATGAAGCGAGGGGGAAACTCAGAAGACCGTTGTGTATATTTGCGTCGGCGATGCCCTGGGCTACCCCCCTGGGGGGGGAGGCCAGCTGGTGACCGAACTGCTTCTGTCTGAGCAGCCCCACGTTTGTGCCCGCGCGCGCCAGAACTCCGCACCCCCTTTCGGACATGCGCAACCGACAAGGTCAGTTTATCCGGAGGGGGGGGGGAGGAAGAGGAGGAAGAGGAGGAAGAGGAGGAGGAAGAAGAGGAGGAGGAGAGGAGGAGGGGGAGGGCGAAAGGGGGCAGGAGTGAGGACAACGGGCTGGGCGGCGGCAGGTTGTCCCTCGACGGTCCTGGCGGCGGGGGGGGGGGGGGGCGGCGGCCGGGCGGGGGGGGGGAGAAGACCCGGGTTGACGCCAGGCCTCAGGAAAACAGCCCTTGGGGCGGGGACGGGCTCGGGCGGGGGGGGCAGCGCGCTGGAATCGGCGACGCGTCGCGGGGCGGGGTGGGCTGCCGTGCCCCCATCCGAGGGCTCCCAACGTCGCGCTCTCGCGAAGCGCGAAGCGCGAAGTGCGAATGACTTCGCGCGCTCGCGCCGCCTCCCAGGGGAGAAGAGGAGGAGGAGGAATCGGAGCCGAGCCGCGAAGCGCGAAGCGCGAATAACTTCGCGCCCTCGAGGGCGCCCTCGGCGATGAATGGGCGATTGGGGGTCGATGCACCCCCCCCGCCTGAGCCTATCTCCCCCCCCAACGTTGCCCCAACGTGGTGACCTCGGGAATCTCCCACGACCTCGTCGCGCGGCGGGCCGTCGCCGCACGGCTCTGGGACCCCGGAGGCCCCGGTCGCCCGAGACCTCCTCGGACGTCGACCCGAGCCCCAAAACTCTGCGGCGACCCCGGGCCCCCACCGACTCACCGCGCGGCGTGGTCACCGGACCGTTCGGGGGCCCCCGACCTGGGGCCGCGACAGGAGCTCGCTGATCGTCGAGGAAGGGCGCGGGTCCGAGGCATGAGCTCTCTGGCTCGCCATCGCTCGGACGTCCCTTCCCTGTGTTTTTGTTCGGTTTCGTGCGTGGTTTTTTTTTCGGCAAATGATCGAGGATGCTCCTCGATTGTCCTCGCCGAAGGAAAAATGCACACGTCCGAGCGATGCCAAGCGGGGGCCCGCGCGGACTTCTTGGCCGTGCCCTCCCAGACCCCCCCGCGCCGTCACCAGAATCCGCGGCGGAGGCCTTGGTCGCTCTCGGCCACTGGGGGCCCTCGCCTTCCTCCCTCCTGCCTCCTCCCTCCTGCCTCCTCTCCCTCCTCCCTCCTCCCTCCTCCCTCCTCCCGCCTCCCTCCTCCCTCCAAACGCCCTGGCCACAGGATCTGGACTTCAAGGGACCGCGCATCAAAGAAGACGCTGCCTCGCACGCCTGGGTTGGACCTGCCTGCCTGGCGCGCTCCATATGCGCCAGGGATGGGGGTCCGGCGCTGATCATCGAGGGGCGAAAAGATCATATACACATAAACGGTCGGAGGTCCGCGCTGATGTATTGGATCGTCGTCGGACACCCCTTCCTGGGGCGCGGAGCGCGCCAAGGGGGGCTCCAACGCCAATCCACGAAATCCGATCGGGCCTCCGAAATGCACGCTTACGCCATGCCGTTGGGGAAACCCAAGGGTACCGATACCGCTACTCCGGACCTCTCCCGGGGTGCGTCCTGAACAGGATTTCGAGGCGAATCCAGCGGTGGCAATTCGGGATTCCTGAGGAGGCCGAAAAAAGCGAAAATTGGCGAAGGGTAGCGGTATGGGTACCTTTTCCTCCTCTGAGTTGTGTTCCTCGAGGTCAGAGAAGTCCGCGAGGGCCTCCGAAGGCGATTTTTGAGGAGGCCGAAAAAAGTGAAAATTGACGAAGGGTAGCGGTATGGGTACCTTTTCCTCCTCTGAGTTGTGTCCCTCGAGATCAGGGAAGTCCGCGAGGGCCTCCGAAAGCTCATGCTCGTGCCCCTGTGCCCTCCTCGAGCTGGACCGCGCGTCGAAGGCGCAGGCGGACAGCGGTGCGCCCGCCTGCAGGAAGCGGGTGCCGCCCTCCAGCCTCGGCTGCACGTAAGACTGACCCTGGGTGAGAGTGACCTTTGGTGCGCGGCTCATTGGGAGCCGCGGGGGGGCGAGCAACAAGCGAGCGTCGCGTGCGGAGATCGGGTGAACCCCCAGGGGCCCGCACCAAAGGTCCTTGCGGCGAAAGGTCACTCTTAGGTTCAGGTCGGGCCTGTCCCCCTACAGGGGGATTTTGGACGAGAAATAAAACAGATTCAGAAAATATGCAGGAAAAATGCCCACAAAGACTTACAAAAAGAGTCCCCAGGCTACTTCTTGAGGCTTTTTGAATGTTTCCCCTGTAGAGGGACAGGCCCGACTTCAGTCGACAGCCCCATCGCGGCGGCGGGCGCGTCCGTGACGAGGGAGAGCCACCGGGCCGGCGGCGCGCTGTTGCAGTGCACGGCTCGAGGAGGAAAAGCACGGCACACCCAGACCCCCTCGCGTTGTGCTCCTCCTCCTCCTCCTCCTCCTCCTCCTCCTCCTCCTCCTCCTCCTCCTCCTCCTCTCCTCCTCCTCCTCCTCCTCCTCCTCCTCCTCCTCATCCTCCTCCTCCTCCTCCTCACCCCCTCCTCCTCCCCTCCTCCTCCTCCTCCTCCTCCTCCTCCTCCTCCTCCTCCTCCTCCTCCTCCTCCTCCTCCTCCTCCTCCTCCACGACGGGAGGTTCTGCTGCTAGTATCGGCCGCCGGGGGCCCTCGCCGGGCCTCGGGGCCGCCCGAAAACCACTCGGGACGAAGAACCGGCCCCGGGGAAGGGGTCGAAACCTCTGGGGGTCGACGCTGCGACCAAAGCCACCACGTCGGGGGTCTGGGAAGCTCTCGGAGCTCCCCGCAGACTGCTCGGATCGGCGCCGGGCCCTGCCCCCCCGGCGCGCACAGAGAGCGCGCCGGTGGGGCGGCGCGGGAGGCGCTGCCAGAAGGTCCAAGCGAGCCGCGCGGAGCTCCGAAAGCTTCTGCTCAGGCTGTCTTTTGCTCCTCGGATGGTGTCCAGGTGCGCCAGGTGCACCGCCATCTTGAAGACCTCCAGGGCGTCGCATTCGCCGTGCTGTGTTCGCTCTCTTTTTCTCTTGGGGGAGTTCAGAGAGCAGTGCATGCGAGTGGCCTTCAGCCGATGCTTCTGTGCAGTGCCGTTGAGGCTGAAGAGCCCCTGGAGGGCAAAAGCTATCTGCGCTCAGCATACAAAACACATCAGCATGGCTTAGGTCGGGCATGTCCCCCTACAGGGGGATTTTGGGCGACAAATTTAAAATAGTCAGAAAAATAAAAGTACAAACAAACAAAAAACGCCCCCTGACTATTTTTTACTATTTCTGAATATTCCCCTGTAGAGGGACGGGCCCGACTTAAGTGTAGGCTTGATAGTCCTCTCGATCGGGGGGGGGAGGCACCGCCATCTTGAAGACCTCCAGCGCGTCGTAGTCGCCGTAGGGGTACCTTAGCGGGCGCAGAACGGTATGAAACAAACATTCTCGTCGCCGGGGGCGCCTGTCCCAGGGCGGCTGGAAAGCTTATACCCTGACGTGCCCCCATAGGGGCAGAAATTCTCCACCCGCCCTTTTGACAGGCGCCCCCGACAAAGAAAAAGCTAATTTTTATCCCATTCGTCGCCCCTTGAGTCCCAAATCCCCGACGTCCTGATTTTTTCGTGATGTCGACCCCCAGCAGTTTCGACCCCTTCCCCGGGACCGGTTTTTCGTCCTGAGTCGGTTTTGGACGGCCCCGAGGCCTGGCGAGGGCCCCCGGCGGCTAAATAGCAGGGGAACCCCTCCCGTCGCGACTTTTTCGCGCCGCGAGGGGGTCTGGCTTCGTCGCCCGTTGAGCACCACCAGTCGCGCACGTTGTCCGACGCCGACGCCACGCGCACGCCGGCGGACCACAGCTCCTGCAGCAGGGTGATGCCGCGCCACGCCGGCGTGCGCGGGGCCTGCGCGTCGATCGGGGCGCCGAGGTCGGCGTTGGTGCCCCGCCGGTCCTCCGGAGCCGACGCCACGACGACGACGACGACGACGACGACGACGACGACGACGACGACGACGACGACGACGACGACGACGACGACGACGTAGGTCGGGCACGTCCTCCTACAGGCGGATTCCGGGCGAAAAATGATCACGACGTGTTCCAAAACATGGTACAAAAAACGTAGAAGCAAAAAACGTCCCGGCACATGTGTGTTTTACTATTTCTGCGTGTTCCTCCTGTAGGGGGACGTGCCCGACTTAGCAGCAGCGCGCGACATCGCAACCGGGAGCCCGAGGGCGGGCGAGAGCGCCAGGGGCGAGCAAAATTGCCAAAGCCTGGATCTCAAGGATCCTGAAGCCATAGCGTCTAATATATACCTCTACACAAATATACATACATACATACATACATACATACATACATACATACATACATACATACACACACACACATACATACATACATACATACATACATACATACATACATACATACATACATACATACATACATACATACATACATACACGCATACATACATACATACATACATACATACATACATACATACATACATACATACATACATACATCCATCCATACATACATACATACATACATACATAAATACATACATACATACATACATACATACATGCATACACACATACATGCACACATGCATATATGAATACATACATACATACATACATGCATGCATCCATCCATACATCCATCTATCCGTCCATCCCTACATAATACAAACATACCTATAGATATACATATACAAATACCTATACATGGAGAGACACGGACAAGAACAAGCGCGCGCGCTACGCGCGCGCACAGGTCCTAGCGCAATCCTGGGCCGCACCGGAAGATCTTGAACAGGTCTATCATGCACAAGCGCGTGCCATAGTCGCATTCACCCTCATGGTCATTATCATCCCTAGCGTCTTCCTCATCTGTCCTATCATGAGCAGCGTCGTCATGCCAAGACTCCTGGTATCATCCATCATCTTCTACATTGGTGACATCATTGGCCTGGTGTTGCTGGTGATGTCGAACGTCAAACTCGCGCATCGAAATAATCGTCAGCATCACCAGCAACATCGCCCTGATCCGAATCGTCATCCTCAGTCTCAACTCATCACAATCCGGACTATCCTCATCATGATCATGATGGGACCTGCTACGCTTAGCGTGTACGTCGTCGCAGCCATCGCCTCATCCATCGTCCTCATCATCGCGCGCGCTCAGGTTCTAGCGCAGGTCGGGTGGTTGCTGCTAGATTTGTGTCGGTTCGAATACGCACAAACGCGATCCATTGTCGCTTCCATGAAATCCCCATCAACATCGTTCCGTCGTCTCCCCCGTCCTCCGTATCCTCAATGTTTGTTGGCATCATCATGATGGTAATACTCAGGCTCGTCATGGCCATCATACTTGTCCAAAATTTTCTTCATGATCAGCAGCATCATCACCACCATCCTGACTGGCATCATCGATTCACTGCTGCTGGTAATGCGGCGACGTGCGTTGTCTTTACCATCGTCCGCACCAAAATCAGTATCTTCGTTCTCTTGCCCATCATCGCCACCACCACCACCATCACGATGGGACACACTACGCAAACCGTTTACGCTGTCACAGCAGTCGTCTCACCTATCACCACCCTCATCCCCACCATGGTCATCACCTTCGCCATCATCACCATCGTCGGCGAGATGTTTCCGGAGAGGCCTCTGGGAACATCTTGCCATCGTGGGGTCCTCTATACCCCCCTGTCTTCCTCATCCTCATTAGTACTCGGCATCATCATCACCACCGCCATCATCATCCTCATCCTCATTCGTACTGTCAAAAACCATCATCAGCACTATCATCATAGCTGGCATTGTCGGTTCACTGCTGTTGGTGATGCGGCGACGTCAAAGTCACGCTTCGGCATTATCACAACCATCGTCCGCACCCGAATGACTATCTCCACTCGCTTTCCAATCATCGTCATAACCGCCATCACCATGGAACACACTGCGCTAACCGTTTAGGTCGTCGCAGCCGTTGTCTCACCCATCACCAGCCTCATCACCACCATGGTCATCACCTTCGCCATCATCGCCGTCGTCGGCGAGATGCTCCTGGAGAGGCCTCTGGAAGCATCCTGCCGTGTTGGGGTCTTCTCGGTCAGTTTCGGGTGCTGCTGGGGTGCCTTGGGGCTCTCCTGGACCGCCGAGTGGGCCTTCGATTGGGCTGGGTTGTTTTGAGGCGACAACGCGGTCCTCATTCATCTGCCGTTCGAGAGCCCCAGATGCGAAAGAATCCGAAGACCAAGAAAAATAGAGCAACTCAAAGGGAAAAATAATGTGTGCCTCTTGTCGTTCTGGCCTTTTTCCCTACCTAGGCTCTGCCTAGAAGGGTTCTTACTCTCTGGGCTTAGAGGGGACGGGCAGTGGAAAGCGCCCAGGGCGGTTCCCCCAGTATCCGCCCCGCGGTTCCCCCAGTTACGTCCCCTTAGCTTAGCATTGCTAATACCATTTTAGCTTAGCTTGTTTCATCTTTGCTTAGCTTAGCTTCATCTTAGCTCAGGTTTATCTTAGCTTAGCTTACCTTCATCTTAGCGTCGCTGAGCTTTAGCATAGCAGAGCACAGCATAGCATAGCATAGCGTAGCATAGCATAGCGCAGCACAGCATATCATAGCATAGCCCAGCATAGCCCAGCATAGCGCAGCATAGCATAGCGCAGCATAGCATAGCATAGCAGAGCATAGCGCAGCACAGCACAGACAGCATAGCACAGCGCAGCATAGCATAGCATAGCATAGCATAGCAGAGCAGAGCATAGCATAGCAGCAAAGCAAAGGCAAAGCAACAGCAGCGACAGCAAAGCAAAGCACAAGCAACGCAAAGCAAAGCCAAGCAAAAGCAAAAGCAAAGCAAAGGAAAGGCAAAGCAAAAGCAATGTGCGACAGATGCCGAGCTAGCCTCGATGGCCGGACCGGAGCCCCCGGAAGCAGTACCTAGGCTCTGCCTAGAGGGTTAGCTTAGCTTAACTTAGCTTATCATAGCGCAGCGCTGCATTAGCATAGCATAGCATAGCATAGCATAGCATAGCATAGCATAGCATAGCATAGCATAGCATAGCGCAGCATAGCATAGAATAGCATAGCATAGCATAGCGCAGCTTAGCATAGCATAGCATAGCATAGCATAGCACAGCGCAGCATGACATAGCATAGCTTAGTATAGCATAACATAGCATAGCATAGCATAGCATAGCATAGCATAGCGCAGCATAGCATAGCGCAGCATAGCATAGCATAGCATAGCATAGCATAGCATAGCATAGCGCAGCACAGCATTACATATCATAGCATAGCATAGCATACCATAGCATAGCATAGCATAGCAACTAATGTTGCTTTCCTAGGGGCTCCAACCTCTAGGTAGGGTCGCACTGGGGTAATTACTAAATCTACCCATTCGACTTCGAAAATATTCTGCTCTCAACTTCGCAGCCTTGGCAAGGAATGTACGGGTCCCTTCCAGATAGCCCCCCCAATCGTAGGAACATCCTAACAGACACCCAATGCTTGACCCTCACCTGCGGAAAGTGGAGGAGGAGCAGAAGCAGGAGGAGGAGGAGAGGACAAGGAGGAGGAGTTGGAGGAGGAGGTGGAGGTGGAGGCGGAAGAAGACGGGTGTGGGCGAGTGGCTTCCCGGCGGTCTCTGTGGGGAGCCTCTGAAGGGCATGTTTGAAGCGTCTTGGGGGTCTCAGAAGGCCCCCCGATAGATCTCTCGGGAGTTTTTTTGGCGAGGTGGGAGAGGAGGAAAGATGCGGGAGAAGATGATCCCTGAAGCCTCTCTGTGATCATCTGTATGATGACGACGGCGACGAGGAGTGTGATGATGAAGAGCACGATTCGGATGTTCCGCCCGAGAGTCTCGTGAAGAGTGTGTGGCTTCCTGGTGGTCTCTGGGGGAGGGGAGCCTCGCAAGGGCATGTTGGAGGCGTCTTGGCGGTCTCGTGAAGCCCCCGAGGGGGCCTCTCGGGGGTCTCTTGGGGCCTCTTTCTTGGAGCCTCTCGGGGGGCTCTTCGGAGCGTCTTCGGGACTCCATGGGCCCTCTTGGGGCCTGTTGGGGGCTCTTGGAGCCCGAAACGTCTCCGGAGCGTCCTGGTGGGATCTCTCTGGGGCCTCTTGAAGGCCTCCTGAAAGCCTCTTTGGGCCTCTTAGGGGGCCCACTAGGCCACCTCTGGACTATCCCGAGGCCACAGAGGCCCCATGGAAGCGGGAAAACGGAATCTTCAAAATTGTATAGTCTCCTGTGATTTTCAATTGATTCTGGTCTCTTGGAAGCCTATTGCGAGCCGCTTGGGGGCCTCTTGGGGCGGTCTTGATCTGTCTTGGGCCCCCAGGGCGCAATATGGTGCCGTCTTGGCGGCCTCGAGGACCGCCTAGAGGCCCTCTTGAACCGTCTTGGCGCTCCCTGGAACGCTCTCGGGGCCCGGGTCTCGCCGTAGATGCTTGAGGTCCCTGGGCTTGGACCCCAGAAAACCGACCCCGTTATACTTATACATTTACGCATACATACGCATACGCATATACATTGACATAGACGTATGAATATGCATCTGCATTTGCATATGCATCTGCACCTGAATGTTCATACACATATAGTGCATCTGCATACACATATGCAGATCCATAAACATATACACGCACGTGAACATAAGCACATGCGTATGCATATACATCTACATTCACATGTACGTAGACAGTTGCATACACATGTAGAGACGCATAGGTAAATATATGTGTATATATCTGTATACATACAGATATGCGTATACATATGCTTGTATACCTAAGAACGCACCATATAAGTACATATATGTATACATACACACATATACGCCTACACACCTACATGTGTAAATGTATGTCTATACACATACACGTATACATACACGTATACATATACAGGGCAGACATCATGGACGTATACACATACAAGTACACATGCATGCACATCAGCATATACATATGCATGTACATATACATATACGTACACGTATACATAATCATGAACAGACACATACACGCACACATACACGTACGCAACTACATAAGCATAGTTGTCGTATAGGTTTGTACACATACATCAACGTACTCACATTCACATACATATAAAATTGAATATACATATGCGTGTACACGTACATACACATACACAAACATAAATACATGCACATGCACGTACACATATACATACTCATGTACATATACATGTACCAATACATAGACATAAACATAGCCAGATACACGAGTGTTCACTGAGGATTCACTGAAGATGGGGAGCCATGGAGACTGAAGAAGGGGAACAACAAGGATATCTGCCCCCCGGCAGCATCTTGGGGGCTCTCTGGAAGCCCTCCGGAAGTGTTTTGGAGGCCTCTTGGGCCCTCCTGGTGCCATTTCAAGCTGTTTCGGGACGCTCCAGGGCCGTATCGGACTCCTTTTGGGCCGCCCTGAGGGCGTCTTGGAGCCAGCGTGGGCGGTCATGGGAGCGCTCTGGCGCCTCCAGGGCCGGGAGAAGGCGATCAAACATGTTCCCAGTCAACTTCCCAGACAGCTTTCTGGTAGCGTGATGGTACCTCGGAGCCGTCAGAGACTCTCGGACCATGATGAACCATGTCACCAGAAGGCTCTCTCGGAACATGACTTGTTGGGATGTGTTGGTGGGCTTCTTGGGCTTCCGTGGAAGCCCCTTGGGGGCCTCTTGGGGCTTCCTGGGGGCCTCTTGGGGGCCTCACAGGGCTTCTTGGGAGCCTGTTGGTGGCCTCCGGGGGCATACTGGGGGCCTCTAGGGCCAGAGACCTCGAATCGCCCCACAACCATCCGAAAGGGCTTCCAGGCAGTCCAAGAGAGCCCCAAAACGGCACGACAGGGGTCCAAGATGGCCCTCAGGGAGCCCCATGGCGGCCCAAAATGGCCGTACGACACCCTCCGAAGCATTCCAAATCGTGACCCGGTCGTTCACGGAGACCACGGTTGGAGGCAGGGTGGCCCGACAAGCCCCCAGAAACCCCCAGAACACGCCCGGGAGGCCTCCAGAAGGCCTCAAGAAAGCCTCCAGAACACGCCCATGAGGCCCCCAAAGGCTCTCCAAGGAGGAGCCTCCGCAAAAAGAGCTGAGGAGGATAGGGAGAATGCGCAGGGCATAGCGAAAATTAGGAATAAGAAGCATGGAGGAAGAATACCGAATAACATTATTCTGGCGGCGATGCCGGAAAAAAATAATTATCGCTGAATTGTCGGCTTGACCTTCCCGCTAGTCCGCCTGCATACCAAACTTCAAGGACCAAGGTGCATGGCGCGAAGCGCCACTGCAGTCTTGCACATATATATATATATACACACCTACATTCGTTCATACAGGTACATACACATATACATACGCAAATCCATACACATATACATGTACATATGCATATACATAAACATATACATATGCATACATCAATACATATACATATACATACACACATACATATACATCAACATACACATATACGTATGCATATACATACACATAACCGTATATGTACATGTGCATAGACCGCATATGCAAATACATACACGTATACATATACATATACACAAACATATACACGTAAACAACCATATACATTTCCATAAGCTCATGCATAAACATGTACATGCACACGCACATCTACATGTACGTATATATATATACACATACAGCTACACATACACAGACACAGACACATGAACTCCGTATGAACTTACACATTCACGAAAGCAAACATAAGCACACATGCATGTACATAAAACTGCACATATGCATAAACATAGACATGCACATGCACATATAAATGCACCCATGTATATGCACACCATATAACGACACATAAACATATAAACGCACATATACATACACGTCTACATGTGAGTGTACGTATTCATATACGCACACACACATGCACATATGTATACCGATAAGCATACATATTCACAGGTGTGCTGATGTATACAATGACAAAAGCACTTGCACACATACACATATACATACACATGTACGTGCCTGTGTCAATACATATACGTATATGTACATGTATACATCTACACCTGCACGCGTCGAACCTTATACATATGAGTATGCACACATGAATTTATCCATACCGATATACAAATATACATATGCGCATGCCCAATGTACATGCGTATACGTATACATAGACATAGCCATATACAAAAGTATCCCGGCAAAGCAACCTAACAGCGATGTGTAGAAGCATATATGAAAGCATTCCCCGTAAGATTCACATGAAAATCCAGTTGTACAATTCTGCTGTTCTCGCAGTCGTAGTCGCATTCGCGATGACAGTCGCACCGGCAACGGCAGTCGCAGTCACAGCCTCAGCCTCAGCCTGCCTCAGCCTCAGCCTCAGCCTGCCTCAGCCTCAGCCTGCCTCAGCCTCAGCCTCAGCCTGCTTCACCTCAGCCTCAGTCTGCCTTCAGCCTCGGCCTCAGCCTCAGCCTGCCTCAGCCTCAGCCTGCATCAGCCTCAGCCTCAGCCTCAGCCTGCCTCAGCATCAGCCTGCCTTCAGCCTCAGCCTGCAGCCTCAGCCTCAGCCTCAGCCTCAGCCTCAGCCTCTCTTCAGCCTCAGCCTCAGTCTGCCTTCAGCCTCGGCCTCGGCCTCAGCCTGCCTCAGCCTCAGCCTGCCTCGGCCGCAGCATCAGCCTGCCTCGGCATTCAAAATGTCGCCCAGGAATGGACTTTTGGGAACGAGAAGAACACGAAGTGGCCTACAGTTACGAAATGGCGTACAGTTGGCTCCGGGCATCCAAAATGTGGCCCGGGAATGGAATTCTGGGAAGTCGAAGAGCACGAAGTGGCCTACAGTTGGCTCCGGGCATCCAAAATGTGGCCCGGGAATGGAGTTATGGGAAGTCGAAGAGCACGAAGTGGCCTACAGTTGGCTCCGGGCATCCAAAATGTGGCCCGGGAATGGAATTCTGGGAAGTCGAAGAGCGATTTTGCGAGGATGTCCCAAGCGATTTCGGCTTCGGCGGCAGCCTCCCCGGGTCCCGCCCAGACCCCCCTGAGGAGTCATCTGCTGCTCTCTTTTGAATCCATTAGAAACCTATCAGCAAGAGCTGTTAGGTAAAAATGTACATCTATCGCTCGTAATTGACAGAGTCGACACGGGGGGGCACTGGAACCTACGCGGGCATCCTGTGAGCTCAACAAGGGCGAACGCCGCACTCCGAATTTCTGCCAGTTGATCGGCCCACCCATCCACGTTGGGTGGCTGCGGGGGAACACGAACGGCGCGGCACAACTGATAAGCCATAACAACCACCTCGATCTCTACGGCAGCGGGGGATCCACTGAGACCGATCCTCGAGGACGGACAAGGCGGCACCTGGACCCCTCGCGGGCAAGCTAAATTCCACTGGACCTCGCACTGCAAGTAATGGGAAAAGGTGTCGCGAGCGGGCATGAAAGGGCGCTCGCGACATCTGAACCTACACGGCTGGACCCCATCCCTGGCGCGGAGCCTGGCCGAGGCAAGCCAGGCCCCCGACATCGTCTCAAGCACGGCACTTTGCCTGGGCAGGGCGAGCAACGAGAGGACAGCCCGAAGCGGAGGCTGCGAGTCGGGAGCGACCTCGAGCCCCCAGCGCCCAGGATGTCCGACGCCGCGCCAGGAGGAGGCGGGGGACATCGGGAAAGAGGGAGGCATACGGGGAGGCGGACAACACTTTCTGCACACACATACACACACACTCGCCCGCCCCCGCTCTCCGCCCCAGCACGGCGGAGAGCCTGCCGCGCGGAAGCCGCGGGCGCGCGAGCGCAGCCTCATTCGCGAATCCCGCCTCGGCCTCGGCGACCCCCGGCACGAACGGCTTGGAGCGCCAATCGTCGGCGACAGGTTCTGCTCGCCGATGGCCTGGAGCGCGCCATGCTCCGAGGCCTGCTTCGCCAACCATCCGCGCAGATGCTTACAATCAGCGACGGTGGCGCGAGCAGCTCGCATCGACGAGGCCGCGCCAGTCGCCGCCATGGAGCGAAGCCGCAGGCAAGGAGGCCAGGAGACCACCGACAGGACGTCGCGGCAGGCCAGCGCCTGAATCTTCGCGAAAGCCCACGCCTCCTTGGCACGCAGAGACGCGGGCGCGGCCACCAACTGCTGCAGGTAGCCAAGCACGGGAAGGACGCGCCGGTTGCACAGGCGCGCTGCGAGGGGCGGGGGCGCCCCGCAGGGGGCGAGGCCCATCGCCGGCGCGAACCGCTTCGCCGCCGCCTTCCTCCAGACATCCGCCCCCCGCGCGCCAGGGCCAATGACGAATCCGAGGTGCCCAGCCTTGCCCGGGATGGACATGCCCGACCATGCAGGCAGGTGCCCCAGGTGCCGGGCGCGCAGCCCGCACAGGGCGGCGTCCGAGAATTCGGCGTCCAGCGGTATCAGGATGCACCTGTGGAACTCTAGCTGCACTCCCGCCAGCGCGCGCGCCGCCTCGAACGCCGCCCAGAGACCGAGGAGAAGCCTGCGGGACTTGAACGCACAGCCCACGTCATCAGCGCACACCCCAGATGCTGAGAGGGCGCCCATGTCCGCGCAGGGCGCATCACGCGGTGGGTGGAGGGGTTCATCGCGATGGCCCACATGCTGCCCGATGACGGGCAGCCTTGGGCGATCCCGCAGGTGACGCAGGCAAAGTGCACCATCTCCTTGGCCAACAGCACGAAGGCGGCGGGAAGCCAGTAGAGGGAAAGCAAGGCGCGCAGGAGGCCGCCCTCGAAGCCCGAGAAGACCAGAATGCCCGCCATCCACTCCACCATGCGCGACGGGAAAGTGTCGCCGAGTCGAAGAGCGCCAGCAGCGGCTTTGCGAGCGCGCTACCCTGGGTGCCCGCCGGTCTGGCCATCGCGTCCAACAGCGCCATGTTGTCCAAGAAGTTGCGGCCACTGAGGATGCCGCGCTGAGGCGCAGGTGAAGCGCTCTCCACCGCGGCCTCGATGCTGGCGTCGGAGGCGGCGGCCACCAGCTTGCAGCCGGAGCTCTTCAGCGCAATCGCACGCGCGGCGCTGGGCGCGCGGAGTGCGCCGTCGACAGTGTCCTCCTCCATGGGGCCCTTGGGGGGGAAGGCCAGCAGGGAGTCATTCCAATCAACTGGGGGCGCCCTACCCATCGCCGTCGCCAGGGCGACGTCCTCGACTGCGCCGACGGCGGCAGGACGGCACCGCCAGGCGAAGTACGCCAGACCGTCGGGCCCAGGAGCCGACTCCTTACCCCAGGATGCAGCACGAGCGAGGGCAGACCTGCCTGGCGGCAGGGCCCCCATCCACCGGTAGCTTAGGCGCGTGAACCTCCATGCACTTCAGCGAGAGCCGCTGCCAGTCGGCGACCTGGGGCTTGACATGGAAGATAGGCGCCCAGTGATCACGCAGCGCCTCAATCATGTCAGCGCGCTCGGCGAGCACCTTGAATCCGTCATCATCAGGGACCTTGATGCCCTGCAGCTTGAGAGTCCTGCCGACCGGAGCCCAAGGCGCAGCGCGCTTGTTGAGCTTCCTCCGCAGAGCGTTGATCATCCTGAGGGAGGTCACGTCGGGGGACTTGGCCCCCCCGGCAGCAGGGGCAGCCGCCCGAGCCTCGAAGTGCACGCGCTGCTCCTCGACGAAGCCGCGGGCAAAGGCGGGGGGGGGAGGGGTTGACCTGGGCGGCCGCGACCTCGATGAACAGCTTCGCAAGCTCGCGCGCCTGGAGAAGACGGCGCCCGAGCCCCAGTTCATCACGCCAGACCGCTCGCGAAATCGTGCGAAACATCAGCAGCTCGCGCCCCCCCCCCTGAGGTTGCCTCAGCCGCAGGTCGCGAACGTCGCGAGCAGCGCCTTTCATGAGCTGCCTGCGGCGGCGACGCTTGCCGAACGCCGAGAGCAGCTTCCAGCCCACCAGGTCACACAAGCGCTGGCACTGCAATCTAAACTCGGGGCCCCTGAAGGGGCGCAGCGGGATCCGCCGCTGGCCAGGGGGCCCGGGGCGACGGGGGGCGACCGAGATGACGACGGGCACGCGGCCGCTGAGCCCCCTCTCGCGCAGCGCCTCGGGCACGCCAGGCGCGACCGCGGTGGCGCGGCGCTGCAGCGCCTGCCAGCTGGGGGTCGAGATGAAGACCCCGTCGATGTGCGCCAGCTTGGGCTGCCCCCCGTTGGACGCGCAGTGCGCGGGGAGCTCCTTGTCGATCTCCATCATGCGCGAGAGAATGCTACGCCAGAAGCAATCACGTGGTCGAGCAGCCGTGTCACTAGGGCTCCTCCGTCTGTCGACCTCGGGCGCCCTCGGGTACATCGGCAGCCGCTTGTAGAGGTTGAAATCTCCAGGGAGCAGCGCGGCAGCACGATCAGGACACATCTCTGCCATCGTCATGTCCGAGTGGATCTTGGCACGGAATGCCTCCCTGTCCGCAGTCACAGGATCAAAATTGTGCACAGTATAAGCAACAGTATTGCAAGAGCCTGAAGTCCCATCGACAGCGGGGCCTTCGCGAGGGCCCGCGCCTTCTGTGGCACAATGGGACGCGGGCGTGGCCACCAGCTGCTGCAGGTAGACCGGACATCCGCAGTCGTTGGATGCGGCCAAGCACAATGACGTCATGCACAACACGGGCTCGCTTGCCCACCTCACTGTCACAGGGCACGACAATGGCCACTCAACCTGCATCAATTCGAGGGATAGACTCAAAAACTCGGCAACGAACGTGCAAGCGGTGGAGGGCCTGGTGCAGCTCGGTGCGGGTGGCGCGCGCGTCCTGTATCGCAATGACCGTGCCGCGGCGTTGCAGAGGGGCCAGGAAGTGGAGCTCGTGTTCACGAACTCCGCCAACCCGACGCCCATGATGGAGTAGAGCGCGAGCGTTCCACGTGCCAAAGGCGACAGGCGCAGCAGCCTGAGCCATCGCACGCCAGCTTGCAATACGGCTGCTCAATAGACCACTGGATGCGCTCGGAGGCGCCGTAGTGCTCCTCGAAGGCGGCCTTGATCGCAGACTTGTCCAATCCCAGATCCTTCACCACGCGGTAGTTCCACTCGAATGTCGTCGGCTCGGGCGACACGTCGGGAATGATGAGCTTGATGACGGGCGAAGAGGCCTTGTAGATGACCCCCTGCGCGCGATGCGCGCGCCAACGTCCTTCATGACCATGAGCCTTGACCAGCTCCAGCAGCTTCTTGGTCTGCCTCTCGCGCCTGACCATCTGCGCATTCTTGTCCAAGCCCACGAACACCGATGTGCGCGACTCTGCTGGGGTAGAGCACTCGAAGCGACGCCAGCCGCCGCTGTCCAGCTTGAGGTGGCGGACGGCCTGCTGGACGCGACGGGCCGCCAAGCCCTCAGACCCCGAGAATTGCAGCACGAAGCGCTGGCCAGGGCTGGCCCCAGAGAGCGCCCACTGGTCGGCCGCGAGCCTTCAGCATCCAGCCACGACTGCAGGGACTCCTGGATGACGGTCCTGGCGACGGGCTCCTCGTCGAGACCCAGAAGATCGTCGGATTGGGCGTGCGCGTGAAAATCGCCATCTCGGCGATGCCGATGGCGGCGGGCACGGCCTGCTCGCACTGCCAGACGACCTGTTTCAAACGAGCCAAGTCCGCCGGCATGTCGCGAGGGGCCTTCTCGAACGAGTCCTGGCGGGTGTCGAGGTCCTTGACGCGGAGGCCCATCTCCTCATTAAAGGCCTCCTGGCGCTTCGCGAAGGAGCGGATGGCTTTGGCGGTGCTCCCGGTGAGGTTGCGCGCCATCTCGGCAGCGCTCTCGGTGACTGTGGCGGCCATGAACTGGGTGATGTCCCCGCGCAGCTCGACCAGGAGGTTATGCAAGTCGCAACGCAGGACAGGCCGTTCGTCACGTGGAGACCCGTCTGCAGCAGGAGTAGCAGGAAGGGCAGCCGACGCAGCAGCGGCAGCCCCTCCGCCACGGGTCGGCATCCACAAGCTGGTCACGGGCATTGCGGCCAGGCCTGGGGCTGCGACTGGCCCTGACCTACGACGCCGCGGTGCCGCCGACGTAGTGATGCCTGGACGCCTGAGTGACACCTTTGCCACTGCGCCCGCTGCGCTGAGAAAGATAAGAAGAAGAAGAAGAAGAAGCCATAACATCATCCCCATCTGGCATACCCCCAGAGGGACAGAAGGAGGACGCACAGTCTGATGGCAAGCGGTGAGGGATGAAACCTCAATACCTCCAGCTGGAGATGTGCAGTGTCGAGTGACGTGTGCACCAAGGGTACCCTGAGCACGTGGGGTCACTCTTGAGATATATATGTATAAATATATGTACACACATACATGTGCATATGCATGTGCATCTGAATGTTAACCTGTACATGTACGAATGCAGCCACCTATCTACATACACATGTACATATACATGTACACATACCTATACCGATATGTACAACGACCACTACACCTACATATACAGACATGCATGCATGTATGCATGCATACATACATGCATACACCTATACATACACATATGCATGCATGCAGTTACACATACATACACATACAAATATGCATACGTACGTACGTACGTACGCATGCACGTACATCTATACATACACACCTGCATGCACGCATGCATGCATACATTCATGTATCCGTACATTCAGACATACCTAAACATATCTCTGTACCACGTATTCACAGCCCACCACACAGCAACTACAGTGCCACCCCGTGAAACAACAAAGTAAGACGAAATATTGCCAGACAGACCAGAAGCGCGACGTGCACCGACCCGAGCTGCCATACGCAGGCAAGCACACGCAGTGGACCCTGGCCTCAAGGACAAGGCAGCAGCACAGCAGCAATGATCCACTGAAGCCTGAAGCGTACGGGCGAGCGAGAAACGTCCTGCAGCCACACGTTGGTCAGCGGGTTGGCCACGACGCAGACCTGCGGCCCCAGGCTGGCCAGGGCGGCCACCAGCTCGGCGCGGCGCTGCCCCTCCGCCAGCGCCAGGGCGGTGCAGTGTCCGAGGACGACCTGCCGGGTGTATCGCAGGTCCTGCTGCGCCCTCCGCAGCGACGAGACCAGGTGGGGCAGCGCCAGGGCGCCAGGCGAGGCGTCGTTGTGCTCGTCCAGGTGGAGATCCACGGGCCTAAGCTGCCCCGCTGCGCAACACGCAACACGCAACCCGAAGCGTGGAGCTCAACGCGTGGATTGAAAGCGCAAGTCTGGAGCGACGTACGTTCGCCCAAACCGTAGGCCGGCACGCTCGTGTGAGGCATGCTGCACACGGTGCGTGATACGTTGAAGCACGTGTGTATCAGGGCCGCTCATGAGGGGCAACAAGATACTGACATCGCTACTCCCCAGACCTCTCCTGGGATGCGTTCTGACCAGAATTTCGAAGCGAATCCAGCGGTGGCGACGAGGGCCTTCCAGAAAGCCCGAGAAGGTGCAAACGAGGGCGGGCTAGCAGTATGGGTACCGTTTAGTCCTCTGAGCTGAGCGCCGGGCAGGTCGAACTCGGCGGCCAGGCGGAAGAGGGCGTCGAACCACCTGAACGATGAAAAAAAGTGGCTCTTACGCAGTGGTTTGCCCGAGCCGCGGGCGTGGCGCGCCACATTGAAGACGAGGGCGCTGACGCGCGGTCTTGCGCGGACAGCTTCCGCGCGAATGTCCGCGCAATCGAACCCGTTGTTCGGCGGCGAGCCCGGGGGGCAAGTGAAGAGGGGGGGGCCTCCTCAGAAGGCTCGAAGTCCCCCGGCCTTCTGAGAAGTCTTCTGAGCCTTCCCCGAAGACGCAGGACGCCTTTCAGAAGGCGCGAGGCCTTCTGAGAAGCCTCCCCGCCTCCAGAGAGGGCCGGAACGCCCTCGGCGAGGCGCAGCTGCCGGCAAGCATCCCGAGGCTAGAAGACCGCCGAGAACCGACGAAAACATCCCAGCATCTAGAACCTCGAAGTCTCCCCTCGGCGGTGGACAAACCTCTCATTAGTAAACCTCCCTTCAGTGAAAACGGCCTATGACAAACACCGACGGACCTGGACCCGCAGAAATAACGGCCGCGACGCCCTCGTGAATCGAAAACGGCCAATTCACTCATCGACGTGTCAGGGTAGGAGGTCTATCCACCCCCGATCCCCGTCCTTTGAGAGGGCCGTCTCCTTCTCACTTTCCCCCCCTCGCCCGCCGCTGAATCAACACCCTGGGGTCCACGCGCGCTCGGAGATCCACATCCACGGTGCCGACTGCGACCCCTCGGATGCGAGCTGTGGCGGGGGGGCTGCGAGCCAGCTGGGGGGCAGCAGCAGGAGGCGTAGTGTTCAGTCGGGCGTGTCCCCCTACAGGGGGATTCGGGGCGAAAAATTAGCAATACCCCACAAATGTTCGGAAAATTATCCAAAAATACACAAAAAACAATCCACCAACTATTTTTGACTATTGTTGAATTTTCCCCCTGTAGAGGGACAGGCCCGACTTACGCGTAGTGGGGGCGGAAGAGGAGGAGGAGGAGGAGGAGGAGGAGGAGGAGGAGGAGAGATGGTGGAGGAGGGAGGAGGAGGAGGAGGACGTGGAGGTGGAAGAGAGGGAGAGGAGGAGGGGGGGAGGAGGAGTAGGAGGAGGAGGAGGAGGAGGAGAGGAGGAGGAGGAGGAGGGGTGGGGCGGGGCCCCGTCTGCTCCTGCTCCGACGCCCGCCCATCACCTCCAGCCCTCCCTGCGGCTCCTCCTCGCGCGCCGCCTCCCTTGGATGCACAAAAAGCATCCAGCAACCACGAAGAGCATCAGGGCACCCTCCCCGAACCAACCTCGATCTTATACCTCGGTCCGACTGTACCCTTACGTCCAGAGAACGAGGGGGCAGGATAAGGAGGAGGAGGAGGAGGAGGAGGAGCAGAAGGAGCAGGAGGAGCAGGAGGAGGAGGAGCAGGGGGAGGAGGAGGAGGAGCACGAGGAGGAGGAAGGAGGGGGAAAGGAAGAAAGAGGGCAACGAGGGAGGAAGAAGGAGGGCCACGAGGGAGACAGCAGGAGGACGAGGAAGAGGGGTGCGGAGCCCGACCACGGAGGCAGCCCGACTTGCACGCGCGACTGCACCGCCGAGCCCGAGTCAGGTTTTTGGGTCATAACTCGGGTCTCTGGCGGCCGTTCGGAACGATCTGGGCACCCCCGGAACGTCCTCCGCGAGGCGCAGCTGCTGGCAGGCCTCCCGAGGCTAGAAAACCACCGAGAACCGCCGAAAGCTTTCGAACACCTATAGAACCTTGAGATTTTCGGACGATGGGGGAGAGGCAGGACGGGGATGTCTTCCTCCTCCTCCTCCTCCTCCTCCTCCTCCTCCTCCTCCTCCTCGATCCTCCTCCTTCTCCTCCTCGATATTCCTCCTCCTCCTCCTCCTCCTCCTCCTCACACAGACTCTCTCTCCTCCTCGACCTCCTCCTCGGATATTCCTTCCTCCTCCTCCTCCTCCTCCTCCTCCATCCTCCTCCTCCTCCTTTTTCTTTCTCCTCCTCCTCCTCCTCCTCCTCGCACCTCCTCCTCTCCCACTCCTCCTCCTCCGCGATCCTCCCTCCTCCTCCTCGATCCTCCTCCTCCTCCTCCTCCTCGTCCTCCTCCTCCTCGACCTCCTCCTCCTACTCTCCTTGATACCTCCTCCTCCTCCTCCTCCTCCTCCTCCTCCCTCGATATTCCTCTCCTCGACCGGCCTCCTTATCCTTGCTCCTCCTCTTCCTCCTCGCTCCTCCTCCTCCTCCTCTCCTCCTCCGCCTCCTCCTCCTCCTCCTCCTCCTCCTCCTCCTCCTCCTCCTCATCCTCCTCCTCCTCCGCCGTCCTCCTCCTCCTCCTCCTCCTCCTCGATCCTCATGCTCCTCCTCCTCCGCCTCTCCTCCTCCTCCTCCTCTCTTCCTCCTCCCTCCCTCATCCCCCTCCTCGATCCTCCTCCTCCTCCTCCTCCTCCTCCTCCTCCTCCTCCACCTCCTCCTCCTCCTCCTCCTCCTCCTCCTCCTCCTCGATCTTCCTCCTCGATCTTCTCCTCCTCCTCCTCCTCCTCCTCCTCCTCCCCTCCTCCTCCTCTCGATCCCCCTTCTCTCCTCCTCCTCCTCCCCTCCTCCTCCTCCTCTCCTCCTCCTCCTCCTCCTCCTCCTCGATCCCCCCTCCTCCTCCTCCTCCTCCTCCTCCTCCTCCTCCTCCTCCTCCTCCTCCTCCTCCTCCTCCTCCTCCTCCTCCTCCTCCTCCTCCCCGCCCTCTGAGAGGGCCCGTTGTGCTGCGCCCAGCCGCCTGCCGAAGCACTCCGGCCGCAGGGCCCCGCCCTCGGCGCCGACCTTCGGGCAGTAGGCGCCGAGCACCACGCCCGGGTGGCGCGCCGCCTCGGCGGCGAAGGCCCGCGCCTCGGCCGCCGTGCAGCCGAGATCGCCGCCCCAGAGCGGCAGGAAGAGGTTCGCCACCCCCTGCTGGGCGGCGAGGTGGAGGGAGGAGGATCGAGGAGGAGGAGGAGGAGGAGGAGGAGGAGGAGGATCGAGGAGGAGGATCGAGGAGGAGGATCGAGAAGGAGGAGGAGGAGGAGGAGGAGGAGGAGGAGGAGGAGAAGAAGGAGGAGGAGGAGGCGAGACGGAACACGAGGAGGATCGAGGAAGAGGAGGAGGAGGAGGAGGAGGAGGAGGAGGAGAAGCAGAAAAAAGAGGAGGAGGAGGAGGAGGAGGAGGAAGAGGAGGAGGACCTCCCCATCCTCCCTCTCCCCCAGCATCCGAAAACCTCGAGGTTCTGGGTGTTCGGACGCCTCCGTCGGTTCCCGGCGGTTCTCTAGCCTCGGGATGCTTGCCAGCAGCCGCGCCTCGCCGAGGGCGTTCTGGGGATGCTCGGATCGCCCCAAACGGCCGCCAGAGACCCGAGTTATGACCCAAAACTCAATTCGGAGGCGCGCCCAGGGGGGAAAGTGATCAGGAGCAGGCCTTCTCCGAAGGCGGCCGGGCCTTTCAGAAGGCTCCACACCTTTGGAGAGGTGTTCGGTGTTCTCGGGAGGAGGAGGAGGAGGAGGAGGAGGAGGAGGAGGAGGAGGAGGAGGAGGTGGAGGAGGAGGAGGAGGAGGAGGAGGAGGTAGGAGGGTGGAGGAGTGAGGAGGTGGAGGAGGAGGAGGATGAGGAGGAGGAGGAGGATGAGGGAGAGGAGGGGGGAGGAGGAGGAGGTGGAGGAGGACACGCGTGGATTTGCCACCCCGCAAGGCTCAGACCACTGCTCGGCAGGCCTGGGAACTTCCGAGCCATCTGGGAAGGCCCGCCCCTTCTTGCTTCCCCCCTGGGCTCGCCGCCGACCTGCTGAGGATCGCTTAACTGCCCATCCCCAGAGGAGGAGGAGGAGGAGGAGGAGGAGGAGGAGGAGGAGGAGGAGGAAAACGAGGACGAGGAGGAGAAGAGAAAGAGAAGGAGGGGAGCAGGAGAAGGAGGAGGAAGAGAAAGAGAAAGAGAAAGAGAAAGAGAAAGAGACAGAGACAGAGACAGAGACAGAGACAGAGAAGAGAAGAGAAGAGAAGGGACGAAAAGAGAAGATAAGAGAAGATAAGAGAGGATAAGATAAGATAATATAAGAGAATATACTATAAGACAAGAGAAGAGAAGAGAAGAGAAGAGAAGAGAAGAGAAGAGAAGAGAAGAGAAGAGAAGAGACGAGGAGAGAAGATAAGAGAAGAGAAGATAATATAAGCGAAGCGAAGCGAAGAGAAGAGAAGAGACGAGGAAGAGGAATATGAAGAGGAAGAGGAAGAGGAAGCGAAAGAGAAAGAGAAAGAGACATATACATATAAAGAGAAAGAGGCAGATAAAGATAAAGAGAAATATACATATAAATATACAGAAAAGGAGAAAGAGAAAGAGAAGAGAAGAGAAGAGAAGAGAAAAGAAGAGGAGATAAGGGAAGGGAAAAGAAGAGAAGATAATATAAGATAAGATAATACAAGAGAAGCAACAAGAAGCGAAGAAAAAGAGAATAGACGAGAAGAGACGAGAAGAGAAAGAGAAGATAAGATAAGATCAGATAATATAAGAGTGGAGATGAGAAGAGATGAGAAGAGAAGAGAAGAGAAGACAATATACGGGAAGAGAAGATAAGAGAATGAAAGAGAAGATAAGAAAAATATAAAGAGACAGATAAGAGGCACATATATACATACAATATAAGATCAGAGAAGATAAGATAAGATAAGATAAGATAAGATAAGAGAAGATATGAGACGATAAGAGAAGAGACAAGGATACATATAAAGAGAAAGAGAAAGATAAATATAAGAGAGAGCGTGATCCACAGCCGCTTTACTGTGGAAAATTGCCAACCTTTTCCTCCGGAACCCGGGGGTCTCC